CCCCAAAACCCCAAAACCCCAAAACCCCGAGAAAATTATTACATACTGAATAAGTGAATTTATAAAATTTCAATAATTCTAAAACTTAGAAAAAATTGAAAGGAAAATTTATATAAATAATGTCAGATCTAGCCGAATTAAATAAAAACCTCCAAGAGAAAAAGATGATTAATGATATGAATTATAGATTCATAAGAATGCCAAAAGAGTAGATATCCATAAGAAGGTAAACTGCTCTCATCCAAGGAAATATTATAAAGAATCACTAACGATTTATTAATGAGAATAACAGTGGAATGCATGAATTTGACACTTTGAGTAATATAAACGAAGATTAATTTAGAGCAACTTAGCAAAAGCTAAAAATATCCCAGAGAGCCAGAAATTCAAAACTCAAACTTCACGGTTCACTATTTGACAAACCATCTACTGCAAATACATCTTATAGAATAGAAAAAAGAGGTTTATTTAGAAATGAAGAATTTTCAAATAATCTAGGGACACCAAAATACCAGTCAAATGTTAATTCGAACGATAGACAGAGTAATAACCTTAGTAGTTTCAATAAGACTATGAACTATGATGATATTAAGAATTCTAATCTATCTGGGTCTTAAAGACTTTCTAAAAGACGTAAACAAATAACTAATTAGATTAGAACAGAGAATACTTCTCCTCAAATTGGAGATGGATCTCATAGAAATCAGCAACCATTGAATTCTTAGAATTACTTTGGTAATTCAGTTATAATTAATGATACTTATCAGCAAATTTAAAGGTCTCTCTTAATTGACAAAAAGATATTGAATGATTTAGGAGAAAGATTGGTAGTCCCACCATTTAAGAATAATAAAAATAGAAATCTTAATGTTAAAAAGCCTCATCTCCTGAACAGTAAACCTACAATTGAGAGTAAGCAGTTCTAGATTAATACAAGCAGAGTAACATATCCTGATAGCACTTTAGAAACTTAAGCTAATACTGCTAGGTAGCTTAGGATCAATGATAAAAGAAAGGAATCTGTAGACACAGTAATAGATAAAGATGTAGTGAAGTAAAATAGTTACTGGCATTTGTAATCAACAATGGAACTAAAAAATAAGTTGAAGGACTTAAAATCATCATTCAACGGGCTACCAAGCAATTAAAACTATGAAATTGACCTAAATCATCTCTATTAAACTGTAGCAGATGAAAAATAAGAAATACCATTCACGAAAGATAAATAAAGCCAGATTAATCACAGTTGCTTTATGGTAAGTAATATAATTATCACTTTCCTTATTTATATCATTCAATTTAGAAACAAATAAATCAATTAAGAGAGATAAAACCTGAATTACAGTTAAATTACAGTAATTTATTAATTTTTACCTTACTTCCTACAGAAATGTATGAGAAATTCAATTATGAGTATGAAAATGAAACTGAATCACTTAAAGGAGCAGAAATTTTAGTTAGAAGATTCTATTAAGATATGGTAATAAAGCACGGATATAATTTTAAAAAATATAGATGGAAGAAAAAAATAAAATTCTGGAAGCTTCACAAAAGGAACAGCATTAGAACTTTAATGAAAAGATTTAGGATTGCACTAACGTTTACAGATAAATACTAAGAGCTGCAAATGATTTGTCTGGGAGAAAAGATTTAGTCAAGCAAATGTCTGTGTTTTGGAAATCACTAGTCTTACTTCTAGATATCTTGGTATATAGAGAAATTTAGTAGTTTGATCAAGTTTAAGTTGAAATAAAAAATGAGATAACTTAAAAGATTGAAATAATAAAACAAGACTTCTCAACTGAGATTGAAAAATACAAAAAGGATATTGGTGAGAGAGACTTCGAGATAAGAAAACTTGAAAATATGATTGATAAGTACAGACTAGATGTAGATCATCTTCAAGGACTATTGAAGGAAAGAGATTATGACTTATAAAAACTTTAAGATCCATATAGTCTTATGGAATTGAAGTGTTTAATGGGAGATCTTTAAATGCATATTGAAGGTGTTTAAACAGTTAAAAATTAGCAATTTAGAGAAATGAAAAATTTTGTCAATTTACTTGATAACTATGAAAAAGATTACAAATAAAAGTAATAGCTTTAAAGATTGAAAATTACCCTTCCAAAAAGGAAATTAAAAAAGACTACTCAAGGGACAAGTCAGCTAGATCATCAATAAACATCTCCTAACTAGCAATCAAATAATGTGATTATAAGAGTATAGAAATAAAGTGTGACAAATAAATATTCAAGCAATAATGTAACGCCAACCAAAGGAGAAAACTCCTTTGATTCTTTCAAACAAATGATAAGCGAAGATGATGAGTTGACTCCCACTCATATAAATAAAGTGCAATACAAAGAACAAAGTAAATTCAATTTTTATTTATCCCTTAATCTTAGCTCTTGATTTGCATGATTTGTGGTAGCGGAATCTTGATGTATTGAATGAATAAAAAATGTGCTTGGCCCAGCTGAAGGAATTGAAAAGTTAAAATATAGCTCAGGATGATAAACTTTTGGAGAGCACAGTTACAAGCTACCTTGACAAACAGAAAGCATATTAGCATGTATCATCATTAGCCTAAAAAGAGAAAAAAGAATAGCAAACTCAAACTGATAAAATTAATTTTCCTAGAAATTCTTCAGATTAAAATATGAGTCCTTCAAAATCTAAGACATTTTTTAAAAAGCCGACTTTTTCTCCTTAAAAATCTAAATTTGGAGGACAAAGTGAATTCATTGTGGGAGTAGTGAGTGAAAGAATAAACCAGCTTGCAAAGAAATTTATGAATAAGAACCCAATAATGGAGATTATCAAGCAAGGCATTATGAATACTAAAAATAATTAAGGGGGATAGTAGCAATAATAACAGCAAGACACAAAGTAGATGACTGAATAAAACATAATTAAAATTCTAGATGATGCAATGGAGAGCAAGGTAAAGGCAGACTTAGACATTGAAAAATTAACTTTTGAAGAAAGAGACTACTAGATTTTTTCAGTATATCTTTATGACTCACTACTTATGCAATATGGTCTAAAAACAATTGCCAATAAAAACATTATATAGATGAATAATGGATTAAAGCTTTTCACAGGGACACCATTTGGATCCCTAATCATGAGAATATTGGGACTTTAGGAGCCTTTTATGCTAAAAGATTAAGTCTCAATAGTAGTTAGAAGTCATTTGTTCTTTAAGGAAGTCTAATCTGACTGGGTAAAGAGAATGAGTTTAAAAGGAACTGATAAAATACCTGAAGATACATTAAGTAACATGAGAAATGGTGGTGAATGTAATATATTTGATCTAATAGATGAACTAAGAGTAGCATTCAAGGACGACAGAGAGCTGAATGACAGAATTCTATCCACTTTAAAACCTGATAACTACAAAGCACTTGATTAGAAAGATAAGAATAAAGTTAAGAAATTCTAAATAGAATTCAGTATACTCAAAATAACTACTAGAATAGCAAAACTTGGCAAAGATCTCAAATACATTTATGATACACTTGATAAAGATAAGAGCGGCTCATGTAAGTTATATATTTTTAAATATTTTATTATAGTGGAACCTAATGAATTACTATTTGGGCTAAAGAACAATTTCAATGTGATTTTGAGTTATGATGAAAACCAGGCCTTAACAAAATATCTTGATGAAGATGGGAGTGGTGATGTTGATTTCTCTGAATTTGTTAAGAAGATTAACCTTGGAGAGCTATAGTAAAAGATAAATCAGTACACTATATCAAAAGTCTCTTTCATTGACTTGATGCTAAAAGAGTGGGATTACTACCTAAATAGGGAGAAGAATAAGATAATAGATTTGTTTAAGGAGTATGATGATAATGGAGACGGTGTTCTTGTTTTAGATGAATTTGAAACATTGATTAAGATCATTGAACCAACTATTAAAAAGAAGAAAGTTCTGAATCTATTCAAATAAACACTAGAAAAATTTGAGGAAAATCAAAATGAAGATGATGCACTCAGTCCTGATGCATTCTGTAATATGGTCTAATATAATAAGCTTGGGGGCTTTGGCAAAGAATTCTTTAATGAGTACTTTAGAAGCAAAGCATAGTCAAATACTAAAGTAAAGAAATCAGCAAGATGATTCTTAATAAGATAAAAATATTAAATATATTATTAGGAATGAGCAATCAATAACCTACTCTAAAATTAATTTCATAAATTTTTTATTTCATGATATTT